ATAACTGGACATTTTGACTTTTAAATCTTATTAAAATGTTTTTATAAGGCTTATGAACATTTTGAATGATAACAGTCAAAGCATTATATTACATAAATACAATGTTACATTTGACCTGCATTTTTCAATTTTAACAAAATTTAGGCCGGAATTACGATTTTACCGGAATTAAGAAAATTTTGGCCAGAATTATGAATTCGAAAATATCAATAAAAATTTTTTTAAAAATAAACTTTGCAGATCTATTATATATTTGAAGAGGATGCTGTAACTAAAATTTTATTATATTAATCATAATAAAAAAATTTGGTATTACATGAGTAGTTACTGATAATGAATAAAAAAAGATTTTGACAAAATGTCACGGGTTTTCATATTTAGAATTAACATTTATAAATCATCAAATAAATTTTCGTAAACGCAAAAAATCTTATTTTTTAATAGTTTAATATACAAGGTGTACATGATTACTATTAAGTATGAACCCTTTGGTAACCCGCGTGTGCGTTTGTTATTGTATCATTCTCATTTGTTGGAGTTGTTGGTTCACATCAATCATCGGTTTTCGATAAGTAATCTTTCTGAAACGTCAAATGGGAAATAATCCATTTTTGGTATTTTTTTAGCCTCTGGATTTTTGTCACGATAATCATCATCGCTATAATACGGCCGTTTTTTGATTACATTACCAATCGAGACATCGCCAATACCGTCAAGAACATTTTTCAACCTATTTTTTTCCCAGAAGTTGGGATTTGTATTTCTGGCAATGGCAAATGATGCCCGAGAGGAAAAAATGGGTCCAAAGTGTTTTTTAAAATCTTCTTTTGAAATTACCAAAATACCTGATTCTTGCTTTTCCTTACTATATGGTTGCGAAGTAAAAATAATTGTAATAGGTATATAATTCTCATTATCAACAGCAGCAGCATAAAAATTCTGTAGATTTTTCTCATATTCTTCTTCAACTTTACTTTCGGGCATCTTTTTTGAACCGTAATCCCATTTGCACTGACTCATCATTATGAATTTTTTATAGAAAGTATTCACAAGTTCTCTGACAAAAAACACGTCACAACTACCATTGATAACTACTTCATCACCACTCTGCCAGTCGATTATTTCACCATCAGATTTTTCTGTTAATGGATTAGTGAGCGGGAATTGTTCATTTGCTTCACATACACGAAGGGGTTTCATTTTTACGCTCATATCAAAGTAAACATTCGACTTATCAGCATTGGGATATAATTCTCGTAACGTCATTGTTTTCTTTCCCATTCTTATCGCCAGATTAGTACGAAATGCTTCATGGTATGCCACAAACTTCTCCCATTCATTCCAATACATGCGTTCATCATAGAACTTTCTTACAAGTGTAGGGTTAACAATATGCAGAGAGTCATTATATATACAGATAAAATAGAAGGGCATATTAATAAGAAACAATCCATCAGATTGTTCAACAGAGGAGAGAATAATATGTTTATCTCTTTCTAGGCTTCTAATTGTAAGAGCTGGATTATTTTCATCCAAAACATATTTATCAGGGCCAATGGGAATACCTTCAATGCATAAATACATGAGCTTCGTAGCAACATCTCTGTTGTTTTTAACATAGTCTTTTATGCCATACTGTTTATCGAGACAGTCCTTGACTTTGATGAAATAGTCCACAAAGTCAACTTCTTTTCTTTCAAGTTTCTCGAAGAATTCACTCCCATGTTCACCATTTGTTCCAAAGCAGACGATAAAGAGTCGTTGAAGTGCGCGTGGCAACCCACTGGTATCCCTCAGAAGCTGAAGCATTTGGCGATAATATTTCCATTTATATGCATAGTTTGCAATTCCCGCATTGAATTTTTCTGCAAAATGATCCGTAATCCGAATAATGGATTTATCGTTCAATAATGGACAATCAACAAACTGGAATGAAATTCTTGAAGCTTCTTTTTGTCTAATGACAGCTAGTGGAGCGGTCCCTGAAAGGAATGGTTGAATAAAGGCGGGTAAAGCGGAATTAAGTATGTATTCCGAAATATTATGGATCATATAATAGGAGAGTTTTGTTGGTGGATTCGACTTATCCTCTTTATCCCATGAATCAATAAGTTGAAATTCATCAATATGAAGATATAGGAAAAATAAGTGTTTATCGGAGAGATTTAGGGATTTGCGAATTTCTCTGATAACAACATGAAATTGAAGATTATCAAAGCTGCCCCTATATTGTTTAAGTGCGGTGCGGAATTCTTGAAACGTCATTCCATATTCTTTTTCAATAAAAAACGCATGCGCAATTCGTAAGCCGAGAATTATTGATGCATCTATGCCATAATCTTGTGGAGTGAGTCTGTGACCATTTCCGAAGTCAATACATAAGTATTCAAGATGTGTGTCAGTTTTTCTTCTGTCATGAGGAATATTACAATCATTGTAAATATCCTGAATATACTGAGGCATGTCATTTCTGATTTGATTAAAAAGCTCCTGTCCAAATCGAGTTTTACCTATTTACAAGATAATGAGTAACTGATACAATTTGTTTACTAGGAAAAGTACAAAGAAACAATACCTATCCCCGGGGCTCCTTCACTGACAATACACCAGTAGTTCGATTTTCCATCTCGGGCCGAAATATTATTGTATATTGTCTCATTTACAAAATTCATTGCCACTTCGAAGTTACGTTGTTGCAATGGCATGCTTAATACATCAGGCAAATTAGATGTACCCTTTAATGCATTCTTCTTAATAACCTCAATAATTTCCTTAAATGAAAGAGATGCTAATGAAAAAAAAATCAGGCAGAGAAATGAATGTAAATGATATAATCTATTTCTTAAAACGTTGAGAGACGCTTACCAGTGGTGATGGGAGGTGGCGGTTGTACGATGATACGGATGTTATTGGAGTCATACGTAAAGATGTCGCCAATAACATCAGCTGGAGACAACCTTTTACCTCCGAGTTCTTGTATAATATTTTCTTCATTCATATCACGGGATCTGTTTTGAAGTGTTCTCAGTTGAACGTTCTCTGTATCGTAAGGAATATCCACCAACCATAGGTTCAAATCACAGGCATCAAAACTTTTGTCTTCGAAACTATTCTTTTTCTTCTCATAGATCATATCTTTGAGCTCCGCAATGGTTATTTTTGTCTGGCCGCCAACTCTAAAGACGCTACCAAGATCGATACCTACCACAAAACAAAATATCATGATTTCGGTGAAATATCTGCAAACGCGAAAATCGAGGGTTAAAAACAAGGGTCAAAAAATTAACTTTTCAGTAAAATGTCAAATAAAGACCTTTTTGTATTTTTTGTATATGATCTTATATTTTCAGGTGGGAAGATTTCAGTTTGTACTGATGAACCGTTTGATTGATTTATATTGTATTTATATTAAATCGGCAAAAATCGGTTGATATATGATGATGATGAGTGACGAAATGTACTAGATACTTCGAAAAATTTTATCGAAGGTTACGTTATAATGGATATGATCTATGATCTTAAGTGGGGTTCAGTTCTCGCTGAATCGGTTATCTTCGTTAATTACGCAATTACGACAGAGCCTTACTATAAATAATACTGATCGAAAAACTTATCAGCGCAAATATTTGAAAACCAGAAATATAAAATTCTACGTTGTCTGAATTTTCTTGCGCAGATTTGGTAATAACTAATATGGATTTTGCACATTTGCACAGTTATGTTGGCCGGACTTTTAAGATTATTATTATTTAATCTATTAGACAACGCTTTAAACTTCATAGCAAAAATAGGGTCATTTGAATTAGTTTAAAGGTCATTCGAATGACATACCAATATTGAACGTATAAAATGACAAAATAATTTTTTTAAAAAAACAAATACCAAAATTACAGAAATATTTTGAAATCGGGCTAGGGATATTAATAGGTTTGGTTTAGGTTCAGTTCCTTAAAGCCCTATAAAAAATTTTTATCCGAATATTTCCATTATTTTTCTGTATCTTCCGTAAAAATTCCGTGAAAATGATACATCCGTGTTAGCAAGATGAAAATTTCCATGATTTAAGGCTATAAATTCCATTAAAATAATACATTCACGGAAAAAATATGGAAAGATAAAACACGGATCAGATTTTTTACAGGAAAGTTCCAATAGGTAGAACTCGGGAACTGAGTTTTTATAATAGGTTTTATCCGCCGATTCGCAGAATTTGCCGATCATCAGTTATGTGGCGCAGTACCGATTAAAATCGATCAAAACCCGTTTCTACGTAAGAAAAAATGTCAAAAAATATATAAAAAAAACTTTTAAGACCTCTCCCAAAATATTTACCTCTTTAACCCGAAACCAGTAGAAGGAGTTTCTAGAAAAAAAAGGAAAAAAATATTATAAAGNGAAACCAGTAGAAGGAGTTTCTAGAAAAAAAAGGAAAAAAATATTATAAAGTTAGTTTATTAAAAAAAAAAATACAAAATCCGGAATATTTAATGATTTAACGAAAAAAAATTAACTGAAAAATAATTAATAAATATCAAATAGATTTGATTAAACAACTAATCAATACATAATCTAAATTCGCTAAAACATCATTATTAATATTTAGAGTTATTTATGATTTTTTTTGAATAATTTCGCTTTCTAAAGTTGGGATTTGTATTTCCGGCAATGGCAAATGATGCCTGAGAGGAAAAAATGGGTCCAAAGTGTTTTTTAAAATCTTCTTTTGAAATTACCAAAATATCTGATTCTTGCTTTTCCTTACTATATGGTTGCGAAGTAAAAATAATTGTAATAGGTATATAATTCTCTCATTATCAACAGCAGCATAAAAATTCTGTAGATTTTTCTTATCTTCTTCTTCAACTTTACCTTCGGGCATCTTTTTTGAACCGTAACCCCATTTGCACTGGCACAACATCATGATTTTAAGGAGAGCATCCACAAGTTCTCTGACAACAAACACGTCAGCAAACGAACTTTATTTAATACTTTAAAATTGTTTACAGAGCACTACTACCATTGATAACTACTACATCACCACTCTGCCAGTCGATTTCTTTACCATCAGATTTTTCAGTTAATGGATTAGTGAGCGGAAATTGTTCATTTGCTTCACATACACGAAGGGGTTTCAAATTTACGCTAAAGTCAAAGTTAACATCCGACTTATCAGCATTGGGATATAATTCTCGTAACGTCGTTGTTTTCTTTCCCAATCTTATCGCCAGATTAGTACGAAATGCTTCATGGTATGCCACAAACTTCTCCCATTCATACCAATACATGCGTTCATCATAGAACTTACTTACAAGTGTAGGGTTAACAATATGCAGAGAGTCATTATATATACAGATAAAATAGAAGGGCATATTAATAAGGAACAATTCGTCAGATTGTTCAACAGAGGAGAGAATAATATGTTTATCTCTTTCTAGGCTTCTAATTGTAAGAGCTGGATTATTTTCATCCAAAACATATTTATCAGGGACAATGGGAATACCTTCAATGCATAAATACATGAGCTTCGTAGCAACATCTCTGTTGTTTTTAACATAGTCTTTTATGCCATACTGTTTATCGAGACAGTCCTTGACTTTGATGAAATAGTCCACAAAGTCAACTTCTTTTCTTTCAAGTTTCTCGAAGAATTCACTCCCATGTTCACCATATGATCCAAAGCAGACGATAAAGAGTCGTTGAAGTGCGCGTGGCAACCCACAGGTATCCCTCAGAAGCTGAAGCATTTGGCGAAAATATTTCCATTTATATGCATAGTTTGCAATTCACGCATTGAATTTTTCTGCAAAATGATCCGTAATCCGAATAATGGATTTATCGTTCAATAATGGACAATCAACAAACTGGAATGAAATTCTTGAAGCTTCTTTTTGTAAAATGACAGCAAATGGAGCGGTCCCTGAAAGGAATGGTTGGATAAAGGCGGGTACAGCGGATTTAAGCATGTATTCCGAAATATTATAGATCATATAATAGAAGAGTTTTGTTGGTGGATTCGACTTATCCTCTTTATCCCATGAATCAATAAGTTGAAATTCATCAATATGAAGATATAGGAAAAATAAGTGTTTATCGGAGAGATTTAGGGATTTGCGAATTTCTCAGATAAAAACATGAAATTGAAAATTATCAAAGCTGCCCCTATATTGTTTAAGTGCGGTGCGGAATTCTTGAAACGTCATTCCATATTCTTTTTCAATAAAAAACGCATGCGCAATTCGTAAGCCGAGAATTATTGATGCATCTATGCCATAATCTTGTGGAGTGAGTCTGTGACCATTTCCGAAGTCAATACATAAGTATTCAAGATGTGTGTCAGTTTTTCTTCTGTCATGAGGAATATTACAATCATTGTAAATATCCTGAATATACTGAGGCATGTCATTTCTGATTTGATTAAAAAGCTCCTGTCCAAATCGAGTTTTACCTATTTACAAGATAATGAGTAACTGATACAATTTGTTTACTAGGAAAAGTACAAAGAAACAATACCTATCCCCGGGGCTCCTTCACTGACAATACACCAGTAGTTCGATTTTCCATCTCGGGCCGAAATATTATTGTATATTGTCTCATTTACAAAATTCATTGCCACTTCGAAGTTACGTTGTTGCAATGGCATGCTTAATACATCAGGCAAATTAGATGTACCCTTTAATGCATTCTTCTTAATAACCTCAATAATTTCCTTAAATGAAAGAGATGCTAATGAAAAAAAAATCAGGCAGAGAAATGAATGTAAATGATATAATCTATTTCTTAAAACGTTGAGAGACGCTTACCAGTGGTGATGGGAGGTGGCGGTTGTACGATGATACGGATGTTATTGGAGTCATACGTAAAGATGTCGCCAATAACATCAGCTGGAGACAACCTTTTACCTCCGAGTTCTTGTATAATATTTTCTTCATTCATATCACGGGATCTGTTTTGAAGTGTTCTCAGTTGAACGTTCTCTGTATCGTAAGGAATATCCACCAACCATAGGTTCAACTTATTGGCATCAAATTCTTTGAAATCGATCTTATTCTTCTCATAGATTACATCCCTTAGATCCGAAATGTTCATTCCTGCGGAGCCTTTAATTTTAAAGGAGTTCACAAGGTCGGTACCTACCACAAAACAAAATATCATGATTTCGGTGAAATATCTGCAAACGCGAAAATCGAGGGTTAAAAACAAGGGTCAAAAAATCAACTTTTCAGTAAAATGTCAAATAAAGACCTTTTTTTATTTTTTGTATACGATCTTATATTTTCAGGTGGGAAGATTTCAGTTTGTACTGATGAACCGTTTGATTGATTCATATTGTATTTATATTAAATCGGCAAAAATCGGTTGATATATGATGATGATGATGGGTGACGAGTGACGAAATGTACTAGATACTTCGAAAAATTTTATCAGGGGTTACGTTATAATGGATATAATCTATGATCTTTAGGTGGGGTTCAGTTCTCGCTGAATCGGTCATTAATTACGCAATTACGACAGAGCCTTACTATAAATAATACTGATCGAAAAAACTTATCAGCGCCAAAATATTTGAAAACCTGAAATATAAAATTTTACGTTGTCTGCAGATTTGGTAATAACTAATATGGATTTTGCACATATGCACAGTTATGTTGGCCGGAATTTTAAGATTATTATTATTTAATCTAATAGACAACGCTTTAAACTTCATAGTAAAAATAGGGACATTTGAATTAGTTTAAAGGTCATTCGAATGACATGACGTATAAAATGACACAGAAATATTTTGAAATCGGTGCAATCTGGGGGGCTATTGAGGCTAGGGACGTTAAGATCCGTTTAGGCTTGGTTTAGGTTCAGTTCCTTAAAGTTCCAATAGGTAGAACTCGGGAACTGAGTTTTTATAATAGGTTTTGAACTTGGGGTTCAAACTCTTTTAAATATGAAAATCGAATTTTTGCAATTCAAATATCACTGTATAAGGATATTTTAACCATAAAACTAGAACATTTTAAAGATGTGGAATTTTTATAGGAATGTAACATACATTGTATATAATATAAGAGAAATCATAATATACCACAATATATTAAAGTTTTATATATTATACCAGATTTTCCATTATATCAAAATTTGCTATATTTTATTAACGAATTTTTTTTATAATAAAAGTCTAATTGGTCAAACTACCAACTTTATTATATCAAGAACTGACTGTATATGTATTAATATAAATTATAATAGATAAATTTTAATAAATTTTAAATTGTATAGAATTATAAATTAAGTAAAACCCTGAATTTGGGTGAACTGACTGAACTCTAAACTATATAGAATTCCAAATTTGTTAGAACTATTAGTATTTTAAAAGATAAGAATTTAGATCTAATTCTTATTACTTTGACCTTCGTAATTATTAGTAAAAATAATTAGATTATAGCATTATAATTGAAATTTATATCTTAATTATATAATTATGCAATCTTTAAATATTAAATTTTACTTGTTATTCCAGATTATATGTGATTTTTCAGTTAATTACATTTGCTAAATAGCAATTTGGTATGATTTAGGTAGACAAAAACATTTAATCACATGTTTATTACATAAATGGAGAAAAATATTCAACTATTTAATTGATCAATTATACATATAAATTAAAGAAAGTTTTGAAAGATTCCTTTATCTATTTCTGTTAATATAAATAATGGATAGCTTATAAGAGTCATATTACATCAGTTTTAGATCTAAATTACAACAAATAGGAAATTTGTTTTTATATATTACTTTAAGTATCAGGGAAAAAAGAGGGTTAGATTAAATTTTCAATATTCAATAATTCCTTTTCAGTATTGAAGTTTATTTTATTACATTATAAAAATCTTGGTATAAAAAAAAAAAAATTTCACTCCCCCAAAAAATTATAACAATATGACAGATGAATGAATATATTTTAAAATGTAGATGAAAAAGTAAAAGAATATAAACAAAGAATATATTAGCCTGTATCTATTTGTATTTGAAATATATAAACACAGAAAGCAAAATAAATGGGATTATTTTTTTTTCATTATACAAGAATTTGTTTTCAGTAAGTTATGAAATATCATTGTCTGATGAATATATTTTTTAAGATTATTAAAACTAAATTAAGTAATATACTTTTTAAGTAAAGTCAGTTCTGATATAAAATTTACAGATAAAAAAAATTTAATCCCCGCTAAGAAAAAAAAATTTAAATAAACCGTCTCTATTATTATTTCATACTCGAAAAATATTTAATTGCCTGTGAAAAACCCCGAATTTTATTACATGTATTTTTTAAATTATCTGCCTTCTCTGTTTTCCATTCATCATTTAAAATAAAATTTCTGGCATATCTGAAACATAACTCTTCACGGAAATGGTCATATAATTTTTTATTAAATCTTCGCTGTAAATTAATACGACATAGAGGGTGTTAAAGATGTTTTTTTGAAAAAGCATATACATCGCGAAATAAATATACGTTATATTTACCTCGTGTCTGCGTGCATCTTCCAAATATTCATGCGTTTGATGAATTAAAAAGTCATTTGGAAGTACCCAATAATCAACTCCTGATAGATATAATTCAAATAAACATGCGGCTTTGTTTGCACCGTATCCGACAAATCGTTCATCACACCTGCAAGAAAGAAATTATTGTTTTTTTTATTAATAAAAAGAAAAAAAAATAAAAATATAACTAAAGAAAGCAGAAATTTCATACCATATGCTTTGTTTAGGGAAAATCACATATGGTTCATATTGGTATTGATAAGTTGTAACTTTGTAAAGTTCATTCGTACCATACCAGTGGGTATAGTTTGATGGGCCATGACCTGGTTTCCAAGAAGCATGAAACATAACCAACCGACCAGACTCTACTAATTCTAAAGCATCGGCCTTTTTTGTTGGGAAAGTATGAAAATCAAGACCTTCTTGTAAATCAGCATACTCAAAAGCTGGTACTACTAAAGCAGTATTGCCAGTTCTAAGTTTTTTCATAATTTCTTCGTTATTTAGAATAGCATGTCTAAAATCTGTACAAGGATGAAAATCAACGTCTAACATCATAACATAATTGGTACGAGCAAAAAATTTTGCTACGTTACGCCACATGTTAAATTGACGTTCGAAATTATCAACTACAAGATGAACATCAACGTATTGTTTCATATATTCGTTTCCGTTATACAAATCATGAAGTTTACTTAATAGTACATCGCGTGATTTTTCATCATCAGCGACATGTATTGTTACAGAGATTGGACCTGTGAAAAAAGCTCATAAGCATTTTGTATAATATATAAATTGAATCGCTTTAAAAAAGACAAGAAGTTACCTTGATAATTTGTAACGAGTCTATCAAATACATGGAACCGATTTTCTGTTATTAATGTTGTAATGGTGATATCTTCTTCTTTGGGAGTTTTTACTGCTCGGAAGTAATATGGAATTACATGTGAAGGTTGCATTGACTCTGAAAACACTTTGGACAAGAAGAATTCTTCTGTCATATAATCGGATGTTCCTATTGTGAAAAAATATATAACAAAAATAAAATTAGTTCAAGACGTTTCATGTAGTTCGTTTGAAATAAGAAAAATAAAAAACTAACTAAAAAGTTGAGTTATATTATTAATCTTTCTATATTTACCCCAAGATAATTTATCATTTCCCCATTCAGATGTTTGAAAATCTAAACCAAGACTATTTCGTGGTTTTATATTATTGTTCGATGCATATGTATTTGAATATACAACGTAAAAATAGTTCAGAGTATATAAAACTGAAAATGCAATATAAACTAGAAAAAGAAACTTTATAGCTTTCGTTCCTTCTGCCCTCATGGCTTATCTAAATTCAGATTGTGATGGTAAAAGTTTATGTTGAACCTTAGAAATATATTATATTTTTCACAAGTTCAACTTGTGATAAACCCGTTATTAAGAGAACAAGACACCTTATAAAAAAAGTGATAGTTATATAAGAAATTGGGTAAAAAAAAAGAAAGTGGTAGGCTTATATGTAAGTAAATATCGGAGTTATAGATGTGAGATATTATAAGGTGCAGCGATCTCAAAAGGTAATAAGCTTATTTATTTATATTACTCCCAGTTTGAGAGGAAAAGGTTTTTTGGGAAACAAAAATTGCTTGAAAGCAATTATTAGGAAATGAAAAGAGAGTGACTATTCCAAGAACTTTATAAGTAAAAAGATACCGTACGAGAAAATGGTTTTTCGCTTCAAAGTTGTGTTGGGTGTCACAAAATCAGTCTTGAAGTAGACCAAAACTTCAAAAATACGTTTTTTCGCAGCTCTTATATAAGTACTTTTGACCGTTTTAGGGCAAACCCTAATATTTTAATTAATTTAACTTAAATAGTTGGCAAAATACCTATTAAGATAACAATCATCAAATTTTTTTTAAATAACTCGTGTGACGATATATTTTCAGCGGACCGTATTGGTACGAAAATAAGATAATCTGTTTCACTAATGTTACTCACTAATAGACGCGAATGATCAAAAAAACGAGTAAAACCAGGAGGACGGCATATAGGGTGAATTTGTTGACCTGATATACCTGATATATCAAGTACGCTTTAATTTCCGGTTTTAATAGAATTTTATAAATTATTCTAGTGTTTATTTCAGGAATAGCAAGATCCCAAAGAACTAAACATTTTTAATGATTACTTTAAATAATGATTACTTTAAATAGAAACAAAAGAGATAAATAATAAAAATTAATATTTTCCGTGAAAAACAGAATTTTTGATTTTATAACTTATTTTTTGAATTTCAAAATACGGGTGTCATCTAAGATTCATCGGCCCGCTGTTTATTATTAACATGAATTATATCTTATTGTTTCAGTTTATTGCTATTTTTAAATGTATTATTATAGAATTTCCTAATTTTTATATTTGTTTGTAATTCATTTCCTTAAAATAAATTTATTCTTTGTCAATAATGATTAAGTTTAAAAATTAATTATTTTTGACAGTAAGAATATCAGAATATCATTGTACAACCTTGTCTATCAAGCATATCAATATTTGTATATATTTTCTTGGCATTTTTGATCGATGCGGGTGAACTATATCGTTAAAAAAAAACATTTCTAACATTATACAATTATCATTTTTGTAATATATTACTATTTTTGTAAATCATTGAATAATGAGTTGCAGCTCGTGAATTGTAATGCTTTAAGCCCAGTTTCCTTGTGTTATTAAGGGATAAAAGGGAGTAATTATTAAAAAAATCATTTTAGCATATAGAGTTACAATCCGCGGATTGACGGATAGGCACATTTCGGCAACAATACACGGATTTAATCAAGGATTTTTTTTCGAGATACCCTTAGACTATATTATATAGAAAAGAAAGAAATTCGATTCGGGACATCCGACAGATGAAAAACTCAATCCGAATCAAATTTCTCTTTTTTTTTATTAAAAACAAAGTTCCTAAATTTATTATCATTATATCTGATATTGTGTTATTTGTGTATTAAATATAGCCTTAGTATATCTTAAAAAAAAATCTTTTCTTATTGATTAAATTCATGCATAATTGCCGAGAATGTGTTTCACAGATTTGAATTCTATTTACTTGATAAATTAGTAGGTTAGATTAATATGATTTTGAATATGAGAAAAAAATCGTATTATATATCAAAGAAAAGAGATGGATTGACAAAAAGACAAATATTTGTTTTAATATGTATAATTTAATAAATGTCTTCATTCAAATTTCATTCTACTATTATTTTATCTGTTATTTGCTATATTCTATTCATATTTTTACTAATTTCAATTTATGCAATATAATTTTTCTTATTAGATTTATTTTATAATTACAGGTAAAATATTTGAAATACATCATTCTGATTTAAATTGTAATTTAGTCTGAATGAAAGTTATTATTTAATAGAAAATGGAACTGTAAGCAAAAAAAAGAAAAAACTTAAATTGTGATTTTATATGTTGAATAATAATTATATGAGTAGAAAAATATCACAAAATTTATGTTAAATATTACAGTAATATTTTTATATATGTATACTTTTTGTATTATATGATTTATATGATTTTAGTTTATAAGAATTCTTATTTGTAAATGCATATTTTTTCTAATATACATTCTGCTATATTTTATTATAATATATATTTAAAGAAATATTACTATATTAAATAAACTATTACATTTATTAAAAAATATTTAAATTATTTAAAGTTTAAAAATCTGGATGAATCTAATAAATTGGATTTAAATTGCAGAATTTTATTCAGATTTTCAGTTTTTTTTTAAACTAATAAGATTATTAAAAATTTTTATATAATTAATTATTAATTAAATCAAAATATTATTTTAATTAAAATTTTAAGTAATTGAAATTATATATAAATAAAATTTAAAAAAGAATTCTTTTAACCAATTAATTAATTACAAGTATTAAAATTTTTTTTTTTTTTTTTTTTTTTT